AGGGTGGTCTCATCTTAAGATCCTTAACTTGATTACATGTACTGCAATGACCCTTTTTCCTGTAAAGTAGAGGCAGGTAGCAATCACAAAGGGCCTTGGGCTGAGGAGGTTAGGCCGTACCATTGAAGTGAATGGGAAACAGAGGAGAGACCTGATCAGGTTTGCAGCCTGGCTGTTGTGGGGAGAATGTTGGAACTGTAAGAGTTGGTGAGGGAAAGAAGGAAGAGGGGGAGAAGGGATATTTCAGGGTATAAGAGACGAGAGGCAGGAAGAAGGAAGAACCTTGAAAGACTTGTAGGTTGCGTATTGGAGTGATCCTGTGTATTAACTTCAGGAAAAGTTTGTGACTGAGGTTCCTGAGGATAGAGAGGTCCAGGAAATAATAAGAGATGGATCTGCAGGCCAGATGTCTCTCTGGAGTATAAATACAGTTTGGGAGAGGAAGTAAAGGGAGGCTGGAGAACGCTACTCCCCCACCGTCATTCTATCATGAAAAATATCAAACACGGGGAAGAGTTGAAAGAATTGTACAGTGAACTTCCATTTACCTGCTACCACGAGTCTGTAATTACCATTTTTCTACACTTGCTTCATCTCGCATCCATCCACCTACCCATCCCTATTCCATCTTATCTTTATATATTTTAGAGTAAGTTGCCAACATCATTATGCTTCGACACTTCAGCGTGCATATTATTAACTAGAGTTCAATATTTAGTCAACTGCACAAATCCCAAGTGTACCACTTGATAAATTGTGCTGGATGTATCCACCTGTGTTCTCCAAATCATTGTCAAGATGTAGAATGAATGATTCTATAGGCTCAGAAAGTTCCCCTGTGCCAGCTAGAGTCAACTCCTGTCCCCACCCCACCCCTAGAGGCAGCCACTGTTTGGAGCCTCCCTCCCCCACAGCCATAGATTAGCTTTGTCTGCTCTAGGTCTTCATGTAAGTGGAAGCAAACAGGATTTGTCTTCTGTATCTGGCTTCTTTCATTTGGTATAATGTCTGTGAGAGTCATTTATCTCGTTGCTGAGAGGTAGTCTGTTTTAGGAAGTTATGAGGGGTCCAGGGATTTAGCTCAGTGGTTCTGCCGCCTGCCTCACAAGTGCAAGGTCGCAAGTTTGATCCCTGGTACCAAAAAAAAGAAAAAAGAAAAGCTATGAAGAACACCAATTTTAAAATTTCTAATTGATTGATTGATTGATTTAGCAATACTGGGGTTGAACCCAGGGTCTTTGCACTGAGCTACATCCTCAAGTCCCTCCCCCACTTTTGAAAAGTTTTTTGAGGCAGGGTCTCACTAAGTTGCCCGCTCTGGGCTCAGACTTGTGATCCTCCTGCCTCAGCCTCCTTGGTAGTTGGGATTACAGGTGTATGCCAGTGTTCCATGTTGCCACTGTGCCGCCTGGCAGGGAAACCAATTTTTAAGGGGTGGGAAGAGAAAGATTTCAAATAAGGAGATTGAGAAAAACAGTGAAGATAGTGGTGGTAGCAGTGGCAGAAGTAAGTAGCAGTGGTTTAAATAGCATCAGCATTTTTTATTTTCCATTCTCATGTAGTACAAGTCCAGAGACAGACCATCCTGGGGTGGTATGGAGGCTCCATTTTGTGCCATCAGTGACTCAGGCTCCTAACCGTCTGCTCAGCTACCTTCAGTGCTGGCTTCTATCTTCAGGGTCATGTCATGGTTCATTATAGCTGCTTGAGCTCCAGCCATCCCACCAACTTTCCCACCTGGCAACAGAAAGAATAGCGAGGACAGAGGGGAGTTTATCTCTTGTAGTAGCTTTCCTCATAGCCCTACACATACTCACTTGACACCTCATAGATGAGGGCTTAATCACATGACCCACATCACTAGGTTAATTAGCTTTTCAACTAGCCACTGGGCACACTGATGCTCCACATAAAGTGAGGTTTCTGTTACCAAGAGAGAAAATGGAGTTGGCTCCCAGGAGGTTCATCTGCCTTCTTTCTTTAAGACCTGGTGGCCAAGCCAGACTCTAGTCAGCATTCCTACCTGTGGCCTTCCCAGACCAAAGCTGGTACGTGGCAGATTTCCCTCTTCTCCAGGGCCTTCTTGGATGCTTGCCTTCTCCATCTTGTCTACAGCCCTTTTCCTGGTAGGTACTTCCTGGGCCCTCGGGATCCTGTGGCGGCTGGGGGTGAAAGAGGAATTGTCTAGGAATACTTGTAGAGAGCTCTGTGAGCGCATTACCCACCTTGCCCCCTGCCCTGAACCCCTTGGGTTGGGACCTTATCCTGGGGCTCCCTAGGTCCCCTCTCTGGTCAGCTTCTGTCGGGAGGCTGGGGAGGAGGATTTCTCTGCCATGAGATTCAGAGGGACAAGGATGACCCTTGTTGGAGATAGGCAGACAGACTGGCAGGTGTCTCTGAGACCAGTGTGACCTTGTCTGTGAATTGGGGAGAGTAAGAAGCTCCGCACAGAGATGGGGCTAGAAGAGCAAGACATGGCAGGGCCCATGGTCATCTTCCCTCAAGTAGTGATGGGCAGCTAAGCCCTTCCCAGCCTGTATGGGTACCAGGCTGTGTGGTGCAGGGAGCCAGGCCAGCATCTCTGTTGCCCCTGGTACAAGCCCTGCTCTTGGGCACACCTGGATGGCGAGGGCTCTGTTTCTATGACCCTGCATCTTGTTCAGCATGTAGGAGAGTTGGTGTGGGCTACTCGATTCTCAACGGTTGGCCAGGGCACGGTCCATCATGGCTCACTTCCTCCTGCTCTCATGCCAGCATTCATAAGGCGCTGAAGCCTCATGGAGGAGAGGTGGAGATAGTATGGTATCTTGGGTCCCTCCTGTGCCTGTTCAAGTGAGCCGGTCTCCCCAGGCAGCCAGGCCTTTTGCACTGCCAGACTCTGCAGAGAAAATGCTGCAGTCCTCCTTTCTCCTGCCTCTATGAGATACCACGGTCAACTCACCTTCTGCTGGCTGCAGAAACACATGTCCTTCAGGGCAATAGGCGCTGTTTCCCAGATATGTGGAATGCATGAATCTCCGTGGCTGTGGTGTCGCTTGAGCTCAAGGTTCCTCCTGTGCATGCCTTTCTTGGGGGAAAAAATAGCCCACATTCCCTACAGCTTAATGGGCTGTCAGCTCAGAGTCTGGGAGTGGAAGGTAGCAGAAGCAGGTGCAGAAAGCCTGGGGGAACTCTTGGCTGCCAAAGGGCCAGATTGGATTGGACTGAGTGTGGCTGTGGCCGGGTGCCCTGGTGACCCGTTGACACTATTCTCAGGCTGCTGGCTGTCCATTGTTGTGACGGAGGAGGAGGAGGAGCCAGGGCCCTCAGGGATAACTTGGCCAGTCCTGGCTAGGGCCTGGCTCCGACCTCAGGCCTGAGAGGAATGAAACGTTCCTCTGCTCATTCATTCGTGCTGCACACATTTACCGAGCACCTGCCACATGTCAGCCATGGGTGTTGGCCCATGGCGATGGGTGGGATGCCCAGTCCCTGCCCCAAGGGCTCAGGGACTAAGAGGCAAAATGAATATGGATACCAGAAGGCCATGTACTGTGGGGGTGCTGAACTGGAACCCCAAGGAGGAAGTGGTGTCTGACCAGATAAAGGGAAAGGCCCAGCCAGCCTTTGCCTTGACCCTGGGCTCAACCCCAAGATACTGGGCCTGCGCCTTCCATCTGGAAGATGCTCAGGACTATCTAAAACATGGATGTGGCTATCAGGCAGTCCAGTGTGCAGAAGAGACCACCACATCCCCCGAGGCTACCTTGGAGCGCAGGGGCACTGGTATGGTGATCTTTGTGTCCCTCCTGCATCTACTACAGCACCAGCTCATGTTTTTCTCCTGAGGCTGTGCTCTTGGTCCCTGCTCAGTGATGGATTAGAGAGGTGTTACCATCCTGTCCAGGCACAAGAAGATGCAACATCAGCTTGCTAGAAGCAGGATTGCCACGCACTGCCAAGCTCTTTCCATTCCAGGGGTGGCAGTTCTGGGCTGGCTAAGAGGTAGAGGTAGGGGGCAGTTTGGGAGGGTCCCTTACACTGTGCAGGACAGACCTTCAGGTGGGATGTGATGCAGGGAACTTTGTGGCCACCCCTGTATCCCTTTCAGTGCAAAGCCCTGTCCCCAATGGGCCCAGCCAACTGGCCCAGGAGGGATATCTCTGCGTGGGCGCCAGAGCCCCAGTGGTGCTGGCAGCACCAAGGGGGTTAATGCAGCTTGTCTTCCTGTTGCCTTCCCTTCCCTCCTGCTCTGAAGGAAGCCTACATTGGAATTATAGACATAAGTGCCTGCTTTTGAGGAGTCAGCTGTTCACTGTGTCCCTGCCGGGCCTGGGTACAACCCTCTCGCCCACGTCTGCCTGCCTTGGGTTCTGTCCTGCACATGGGGCCCCGTTCAGAGTGGTGAGGGCCCCCGGGGACATTTTCTCAACCCCCACCCCCAAACCCGCACTGCCCCACCACAGAGAGATTAGGCTCAGTGTACAAGTGGTACCCAAGGGGGAGGGGCCGAGGAAGTGACATCGCTTGGCCCGCCCCCGCCTCTTTATTCCCTATAAAAAGCAAGATGGTGACTCAGAGAAGGACAGTTGGAAGCGTCCTGCCTCCTGCTCCCACTGTTAATTTTTAGACGTGGAATTAGGCAGGAGGCAAGGGAAACAGCAGCTTGAAATACGAGGCTGACATGCTATTAAGCGGGTGGCGATAGAGGAGCCGTTGCTGCGACTCCCAGCAGCCTCTGACTGAGTGAAGCCCGGTGCCTGCTGGCGCTCCCAGCCCCTTCCCAGGCCCGGGCCTCTGTGCAG